CGCGGGAAACTACCGCCGGCCCTTTCTACTCACGTCCAGGTTAGGGACAGGCTAATAAAATTTAGTGAACTTCGGGGAGTGCTTTTTCGGGTTGCCCAGGTTTCCGCTTTCCTACTCACGTCCAGGTTAGGGACAGGTTAGTAAAATTTTGTGAATTTCACGGAGGGGCTTTTTGGGCCACTGAGGCTTCTGAGTTGCGTCTCCGAGGTTTGTTTTCTCTACGCAACACGGACACCAAAGCTGGCCGCATGCCCATTCACGTCGGACAAGCTCCCGTATTTCGTTTCCGAGGTTTACTCTGCGCAATCCGAACGCTTGCCGGACGGGCTAATTTCCGTCGATTTCGCTACGCCCTCCCCTTCGCTCCGCGTACGGCCCAGTCAAAATTTCCGCAAGTTAAATCTACGTATTACGTAGATTTCTTTCGTATTGCGTTTCCGAGGTTTTGTTTTCTCTACGCAACACGGACGACGAGGCCGGCAACTCCCAGTCCCGTTTTTTTCTCCTGTGTTTCTACAAATTAAACTGTAGAGGACTCTGACCGGACTGAAGCCTATCCCAGCCTATGAAAAAGTCCTTACAATCTTCAGGGGTTGGGGAAGACATGATAGCATTTTTTAAGAAAAAAAGAGGAAACTCCATCAATGTCCGGCTTTGTGGAGCCGTCAAAATGAGATACCAGCCACAAGTAGGTTGAAAATTAGCCGAGAAAAAGGAAGCAAATAAGTTATCATATTCGTCCCAGAGTTTGCGGTAGCATTGTTATATGACATAGTTGACGGTATGGAAGAAGATATCTTTGAATTAATAGAGCACCAGAACACATTTGGACTGAACTTTAAACTATTTTCAATATCGGAAATGAATTGGTTATATAGAAATTTATATAGAAATTCAAATTCCTTTTTATGTTGTCTATATCTATCACCATCCACTGGATTACCTCATAAATCATAAAAAATGATATTTATTTGAATGAGGCCCATAATATAACAATCGTCAGCAATAATAATTTCATGTGGCTGGAGTTGAATTTAGGGTTGAGCCAGGTTTCAACCAATATTAATATGTCATAGCCACTGTTGGATGTACTCATGAAGACGGACTGAGTTTTGGTTCTCATTCCAGATATATTTTGAAACTAAATTTTAAGGCAACTACTTCCAATTCTTTTGTCTGACAAATTCTCTGAAACCGTTGCCATAGCTTTATAACGGAAGTCATGAGGCAGCCTTTGCGTCGCAAGTCCGAAAGAGCCATTCAGAGCCCTACGCAATATTTCAGTCTGGATACGTATTTGTAGGGTGAGATTATCATTACAAAAGTTAGAGTTGCAATCCATTCCAACGCGCCGATGCAGCGGAAGGTAAAGGGAGCGCAACTCTGAAGAGAGCGCTGTATAGGAGCGGATTTTTTAAGTAGGGAGCTGCATAAAGAAAAGGGCAGTCATCCGATGTAGTTGTTGTTGAAAATATAGGTGCGAATAGAGTGATAATTCAATGCAATCGCTCAGCCATCCATGAGTAAGGCGAAGCGGCGAGGCAGCAGGAGGTGGATAGAGCGCCAGTATGAGCGCGCGCTATATGTACACTGCGTATATCACACAAAACGGCCGTCAATTGCGACTGAGTTTATGAAGCTGGATAATGAGCGTGCCGGAGAGGACCCGAAGAGTTCATCTGATATTGTTGTTGTTGCGAAAATAACGATGTAGAAGGCGTGTAAATTAGGCACTAGCTTATGCATTTGTTGTTATTGGTGAAGCTGAGAGCTGCAGTTATAAATAACGCACGAAAGTGAACCGCTAATGACGTCAGTGCCCGTGACGTCAATTAATGTGGTGTTTTGATGGTAGCTTGGTAGGGGTAGATGTTAGTATTGGTTTTTCACCCAATAAGTCCCCAGCGCTGGTTAATGTTAACATTAGCCGGGGTCTCCACAGATTCGGGAAAAGCGAATTGAAACTTAAGTTCACGAAGTTCCTCAATGCTCTCGTCTGCTTTTGAGTGCGAATCATTGCTCACTACGCAGCTGTCACATTGCCATAACAGATTCGGCATTTTAGTGCCTCTTCAAGAAAATCAACACACGATGTGTGGAAGGTGCGATGACAAAGCGATAAGAATCGAACCGCCTCAAATCCGCGAAGCTGCGCAGGCGTAACGGCAACGTAAATGGAGTCATAACGAAATAAAAAACGCGTCTGCTCGCAACGAATGCTGATCAGAGGCTGTATTTTTGTAATCAATTTTTAAAATAACAATTATTTTCGATTTTTATTTAAAAAATCAAATGTGAATTTGAATATTTTAATAAAAATCAGAAACAACTCTTATTTCTTTTTTGACAAATCAAGAAAAACAGTTATTCAATGATATCATATCATATGTCATATCATATGTCCTTATGTGACCAATATAATAATATTGTTACATTTTCCCAATCTTCGCAAGCCGTGTCTGTATATATTTAAATAAAAATGAGTATTAACATTACAACTCTACCTTAATGTCATAATTTAATGTTTTTTAGCCACACGTCACGCATTTTCGCTTATGTTTCTTCGGCATTTCGGAAAAAAAAGCCAAAATATTTTTAAGAAATCCGTACTTTTGCTATGAGAGAGAGCGAGAGGTAAATGTCCGACGTACACTTTTCGTCAGTGCCTATATTCACCCCAGTACTCAGATCGACGAAAAATATACCAGAAAATTGCAAAGCGCTGTCAGATTTCTCTGGGTGAACGTACGCCATGTCCGCTGGTTAATCTTAACATTACCCGGGGCCTCCACAGATTCGGGAAAAGCGAATTAAAACTTAAGTTCACGACGTTCCTCAATGATCTCGTCTGGTTTTGGGTGCGAATCATTGCTCACTACGTAGCTATCACATTGCCATAATAGATTCGGCATTTTAGTGCCTCTTCAGAAAAATCAACACACGATGTGTGGAAGGTGCGATGACAAAGCGATAAAAATCGAACCGCCTTAAATCCGCGAAGCTGCGCAGGCGTAACGGCAACACTGCACTCAGAGCACGTAAATGGAGTCATAACGAAATAAAAAACGCGTCTGCTCGCAACGAATGCTGATCAGAGGCTGCATTTATGTAATCAATTTTTAAAATAACAATTATTTTCGATTTTTATTTAAAAAATCAAATGTGAATTTGAATATTTTAATAAAAATCACAAACAACTGTTATTTCTTTTTTGACAAATCAAGAAAAACAGTTATTCAATGATATCATATCATATGTCATATCATATGTCCTAATGTGACCAATATAATAATACTGTTACATTTTCCCAGTCTTCGCAAGCCGTGTCTGTATATTTATATAAATATGAGTATTAACACTAAAACTCTACCTTAATGTCATAATTTAATGTTTTTTAGCCACACGTAACGCATTTTCGCTTATGTTTCTTCGGCATTTCGGAAAAAAAAGCCAAAATATTTTTAAGAAATCCGTACTTTAGCTATGAGAGAGAGCGAGAGGTAAATGTCCGACGTACACTTTTCGTCAGTGCCTATATTCACCCCAGTACTCAGATCGACGAAAAATATACCAGAAAATTGCAAGCGCTGTCAGATTTCTCTGGGTGAACGTACGCCAGGCCCCGGCGGAAAGAATACAAAATTTAATCTTTTGAGATTGGAGCTGGCAGAGTATAGTATTTGTCGGATCAAAAATTGGACGGAAAACCACAAAAAACTCAGCAAAATTTACTACAACAATACAATGTTGACGACAAAATATTCCCGATTCCCTTATGTGACACTTTTGTTGAACGCGGTCCAAAATATTATTTTACATTGTTAAATATTACATATACATTTACAGTATTGATAATGACTAAATATAGTTGCAGGCTGGCGGGTTAAATTTGAATTAATTTCCGTTTGTCCACAAGCTCAGCTGACTGACAATAAAACCGAAACAACAAAACTTCGGTCACACTAGACAGAATAAACTTTTTACGCTGGTCGATGTGAGTTAGTACTTAACCTTCAAAAATAACCGGATTTGACGGGAAGAAAGGGGGAGTATGTGCACCCTAACCCCACATCTCTTTCGACTACGCCTATGGTTCACATCTAATATCAAATTGTGTTACGTCAAGATTTTTGTGTTGCATATTCATTCAACTAGAACTAATGGCCTAGTCCCACGGAGCACTATCGACCATCTGTTTCCGTAAGGCTTTGCCGTGCTAAAAATTTCACGGTTATTCCTTGATGGTGGAATTTACGTTTCTAAACGCACGTCTCTAGCCGATATTTTTTCTGTGCAACTTTAAGGACTTGGCTCGAAAAAAATTGAATTGACATGGAGGCTATCTCTGTTTCTGTGAACCAGAGGCATAGTCGAATTAGGCTTAGGAGGGTAACGCTGCTCCAAAGCATTAATTTGAGTACAAGCCATTATTTACGCATTCAGATAACCATTTAACTAATCCAGATCATTAAAATAAAATAAGGGCCGGAAAAAGTACTTCTAAAAGAGTTTGAAATATGAAAGACCCCCTCAAAAAATTTTATTGGCACTCTATAAGTTTTGGTTGTCGGTTGATGGTGGAAGGTGGATGGTGGAAGGTTGATGGTGACTCTGTGGGAACACCAGTCCACCATCCATCAAAAATCCCAACCGTTTCGCCTGGATTGCTCTGTGGGAATGGGCTAAAACGATTAGCCGACCTAACCTTACGGTCCATCTCGCAAATGGATGAATGCAGAATGCGGAATATGTGTAACCATTATTTTCGACAGCTCAAATGTCCTTTTAAAGATTATTCTGTAGCATTTGATTAAATAAGTCCAGGGAAATGCTTTAAAACAGTTTGATGCAACTGAAAGACCCCTTTGAAAATGTTCTGTTCGTACCACTGTGGCGCTAGTTCCATTTCTCAGCGTTCCACAATGGGCTCCTATTAAGGGACGTTAGCTTGACGCACATTAGAATTAACTCGTTTCAAATAATAAAAAACTATTTACTATCTCTATGCACATGGGAAAGAAATTGTAAGCAATTATAACCCGATACAATTTATTTAAACAATTGTGTTGGTCGTATTCGAACTAAATAAAAGAAATGGAAGAATACGCCCGAGAACCTTGCCCATATAGAATTGTAGACGATTGTGGGGGTGCTTTTGCTATGGGATGTATTGGAGGTGGAGTGTTCCAAGCTATTAAAGGGTTTCGTAATGCACCTGCTGGCATAAACAGAAGATTGGTAAGTGTTGTAACTTTTAAATATAATGTTTAATCTGCAACGTATTATTTGATAAGTCACTAAAATGTCATGGCATAAATCTGAATATAGAAATTGTTTTTTAGATCGGAAGTATAATTGCAATAAAAACTCGTTCACCCGTTATCGCAGGCAATTTTGCTGTGTGGGGTGGTATGTTTAGTACTATCGACTGCACACTCGTGCACTTTAGGAAAAAAGAAGATCCATGGAACTCCATCATAAGCGGTGCTGCAACTGGAGGAATTTTAGCTGCAAGAAATGGTACGGAATTGGATAATTTATGTCTAAAAAAAGCCATGTATTTTCGCATTTATTATTTTTTTTTTTCAATTTATAACCTTTAAATCATTAAGTCAGCCTCATTTCGTAAAATATTACACCTACACTTAAATTAACTACTACACCTTAACGTAAAAAGATTTGGGTATTCCCTTAATGACAATCTCTGAAATGTTGAAATTCGGTCAGCTTTTCTATGCAAATTTAACTGACTGAAATTTCAACAGTTCGGCAATCCAGAGCCTGCTGAATATTTTGTTGTATTTCTAAAAAATCAGGGTAGTCGCTCTTTCGAATGGCGAATGAAACACTGGTTCCAACATATTTCCAAATAAAGAAGTTTAGACAATTCATTGCTTGTTAGTTCGTATTTCCGCTTTTCCTAGGCAAAGCTAAACTTGGACAAACTTAGCTTGGGAAAAAACAGGAGCTGGAACAGCTGTTTAATGAAACAGCTGTTTGACGATTTCAGCAGAAAACACTTTTATACCTTTGCAGAGGGTTTAATAATTTAGTCAGAAGTTTGCAAAATATATATATTCTTGATCAGCATCACTAGGAGAGTCGATCAACCCATGTCCGTCTATCCGTCCTTTTCTACGCAATCTTTCTTTCAGTTTTAAACCTATCTGCATGAAACTTTCCCAAAAGTTGTATTTCTATTGCAGGTAGTGCATAAGTCGGAACGAGTCGGAACAATCGGAAAAATATATAAACAAAAATTATAACTTTGCTGTTTTTTAATTTTTTGTAGTTCTTCGACAAATAATAATGGTTAAATATTTCAGAATATTGGTATAAATTTCATCAAAATCGGACGACTATATTATATGGCTCGCATGAAAACAATTATAATATATAAAAAAAGTTTATTTATTTAATTTAATTTTGCTGTTTTGTAATTTTTTAAAAATTATTTGTGACAATTTGACAGTTCAGAATTACGCTTTTAATTCTGTTTGAATCGGAAAACGGTATCGTATAGCTGTCATATAAACTATAGAATCATTGAGCTGCAAGTCATCATAGCTTCAATTCTTTTAAACATATAGCAAATCATATTTACTTTTTGAAATAGCTGCAAGGGTATATGAGCTTCGGCTTGCTGAAGTTTGCTTCCTTTCTTGTTTTTATATGTAGTTTTTTGAATCTGTGCAAAAGTAGCTGATCTGATGTCAAAAAGAGAACGTTAAATTTAATTTAATCTAACAAATTGGATAATATTGCATCTTGTTCTTCAATAAATACCACTAACCATTCAACATACATGTAGACTGGTGTTTTCATACAACCAAAATGGACACGAAATTTCTTAATCGGCAAGCCCCCGGCGCTTCGTGTGCATTCGGGTTTTTTGCTCTCTTATTCTTACTCTCATTTTTATGCTCGCGGACTCATTGCACTCATTGCATGCGTGATCATGCATTCTTATACACGGGAGTATGTGTGCTTTTATTTCATTTCGACGCATCAAGAATATTTTGTCTTTTGCTATTTTTCAAACTTGGTACCCTAAGAATATGGTGGTATTTACCATTTACCCGAACGCACACGAAGCTCCGGGGCCTGCTGCTGAAAACCCGGGGGCCTGCCGATTAAGAAATTTTGTGCCCATTTTGGTTGTATGAAATGACCAGTCTATATGTTGTATGGTTAGTGATATTATTTTAAGATAAGCCATCAAAAGATTTTACTTATTATGATTAAGGGTTAAATCTATTAAAAGAATCACGGTTTGGACTTTTTTTGACGATACTGTTAAAATCTTCAAAAAAATAGTTCAAATTGAATTTAGTAAATAGTAATGGTACATCATGTAAAGGAAAAATCTCAGGTTTTACTAAAAAAAATCTGTTAAATTTTTGTTTTAAATGTAAATGAAAATGTTGCTTGTGTAAAGAAAAAGTGTTCAAAACGATTAGTGCAGTAACTTAGAAGTTACGATGGACACCGACTTTCAAAACGTGAGTTGTGGACAAAGCGTGTAAAGTTCTGAGCACTAGAACTAGTGAACAGATAAAAAAAGGTACCTTCGTCCATTTTTTTCTGATCGTCTTAAAATTTAGACACAACATTCTTGAGAAACATTGTCTTGGGACAACAAACAATTTAAAAACCATTAAATATTATGTGTGCTCCGGACTGTTGGAAAGCGGCAAAAATAATTCCGATTCCTAAATCAAATAATGAGTACAGACCCATCTCCATTTTACCATACCTATCAAAGGTATTTGAGAATCTCATGGCTGATCAAATTAATAAATTTATGTCCGACAATGAAATGCTTACTAATAATCAGTCTGGTTTTAGGAAAAACAGAAGCTGTACCTCAGCTATTATAAAAATTGCAGACGACATAAGGGAACAAATAGACGAAAACAATGTTACACTCTTAGTTTTAGTAAGGTCTTCGATACAGTAAACCATAATGTCCTTTGTGCAAAACTACGTAATATGTTTATGTTTTCTAAAACTTCTGTCAAACTTGTGTCTTCGTACCTACAAAATCGTCGTCAATCTGTTGTACTGTCTAGCGTTTCGTCCTCATATGAAAATGTTAATCGTGGTGTACCCCAAGGGTCTGTGCTTGGTCCCTTATTGTTTACCTTATATGTTAATGACCTTCCCAATGCGTTATCTGAATGTAATGTACACTTGTATGCTGATGATGTCCAAATGTATGTGAGTCGTCCTTTAAACAGAATAAATGAATGTATAGATGTTTGTAACAGAGAACTTGAACGTGTAAATGAGTGGGCCGGCAACAATGGACTTGGGATCAACACATCAAAATCAAAATGTCTTGTCATAAGTAAAAGAAAGATAATTTTTAACAATTTGCAGCCACTGAGTATGAATAGCACGCCACTTGAGTACGTTGATACAGCTGTAAACTTAGGTTTTACATTCAACAGAACTCTTACCTGGAATGATCATATTAAAAAGTCTGTAGGGAAAACATATGGCATAATAAGGACATTATCCGTAACTAAAAATTGCCTGCCCACCCATATACGTTTACTAATAGCTAAAACCTGCATTGTTCCAGCGCTATTTTATGGAGTAGAAGTTTTTTCAAACTGTGACACTACCAGTAAGAACAAAATTAAAGTTCTATTTAATTGCATAGCCAGGTATATAATCAACCAGCCACATACAGTTCATGTATCAGAATTTTCGCTGAAAATATTCGATATCTCGCTAAATGAATGGATGAAGATGCGGAACTTAATTTTTCTGCAAAAAATTATTTTCCAAAAAGAACCTTTGTATCTATTCGAAAAACTTCAATTTACATCCTCTAGAAGAGCAAACAATCTTACTTGCATAAGACCTAGATCATTGACATCCGAAAGACAATTTTTAATTAATGCAGCTCCCAAACCATCTTAAAAATATTAGCAGTGCCACGCAGTTCAAGATAAAATTATTCACACACCTTAAAAACACTATTACGTAAATTAAAGTAAAAATAGAAGGCGACTTAGGTTAGTTTTTATGAAAATTAGTTTTAAGTATAATGTAACAATTAAATATTTGCTAACTCGTAGTGACTAGCGCATTAACTTATAAGTTATAAGTTAGCGCATTAACTTATAACTTGTAGCGTTAGGATGAAATTTTATAATAAATACAAATACAAATCGGACGACTAGAACATAAATCTCCCATAGGAACAATAAAAATATTAAATTATTTTTTTTTTAATTAAACAAAATAGATTTTATTTTTGATACAGCTGTTGTAGTGATGACAGTTAGCGTCAGTTAGCCTTAGGCTAAAAAAACAGGTATCAGTCTTTAGAGTCCCCAAGGGACCCAGAATGTTAGATAGCGTTGGCAAATCTTAAATTTTATGATTTGTAACTGCTACCTTACTTTTTTAACATTATTTTCCTAGAGTTTTATCTTCATATTCTTATCAGTCGCCAATTACTTCGCAAGATGTCGCCAAAACAATACAAGTATAAGCATTAGCACGTCAGCTGGGTCATCATCTACCAGCACTGTTACAACGGTGAGTTCCGCCCTCACAACACACATTGTAACCCACCTACAAATGCCGGCTTAAGCATATAGGTACCGTCATTACAACCTGAAAATGCATCAAACCGCCCTATGCTATGTAAATGTAAAGCGTAAGCTTAGCACGCAACCCAAAAAAACGTTTTTAAATTGGCCAAGATCCAAAACCCTCCTTACGAAAATAAGTTCGCACTGCTGGACGGCGATCAAGACCCCAAGGCCATGCCGCCTCCCATTTACCTTCGTGAAACAATAAGCAATGAGCTGGTAAACACAATTAATCGCCTCATCGGCGAGCATACGTTTCGCGTAATCTCACCGACCAAGGAAAACCAAAACGCATATTCTAAATGAGGAGAACTACCGAATCGTAACCAAAGGGCACCAGTTTGAAAGCAGCAAAAGGCTGCAAATGGAAATAAAAGGAATTGAACCTAACGTTTCTAGTGACGTTAAGTTCGTGCTTTAGATTTAGATTTGATTAAAATCGGACGACTATATCATATAGCTCCCATGAAAAAATCGAAATATAAAAATGTATAAACAATTTTTTTTTTAATTCTTCTGGATAAAATAATAGTTTAATTAATTAATTAGTTTTATTAAAATCGGATAACGATATCGTATAGCTGCCTAGGAACGATCGAATAATTGAGCTGAAAATCATCATAGTAAAATGTATTTAAGCATATACGCTTATACTTCAAAATTGAATAACCTTCCGAAAAGCCACAACACCCGATCATTTTCAAAGTTTCAGGGTTCTCCGAAATCAAAAGACTTTCTTAAGCTCTTAGTATGGACAAACTCTTATAAAAGCGATTCCTTTTGATTGCCATATAATTTATTAAGATCGGACTATTCTATTCCGGTGCTGCTGGTCTGCCATCCACAGTGATAAAGTATGTTTTTAACTCGAAATATTATTAGGCGTACCGCCTAATCTCCCAAAACAGATCAGGGACGGCGTTTTTGCAAAGAGTTTGACCTTTGTTAAACAAAGTATGTTTTAATTCAAAATTTGATTATGCGATGCATCATATCTCCTAAAACTTCAAGAAATATGATCAAAATTTGTTTTTTGCCTAATCGAAACCGTAACCGAAATATAAAGCAACCGGATTAACCTTAACCGGGACCGAAATATTTGTACCGGTTTTGCTAATGTGTCCTTAGAAAACAAAATCCGTATAACACATTCATATGTCGGATCGTGCAAATTTTTTCTTTTCAGAGGATTTTTTACAATCCAGAAAAAAAATAAGCATACAAAAATGTCGCGACCAAAAACAAATACCAACCGAAAATTGTACACGTTTTATACGTAGTAGTAATTAGTTTGAAAAGATGTGTCGGTAAATATATTGTATTAATTCGGTAATATAAAGTTTGTAAGCGTACATATTAACATATGTAAAAAACCCCAAGTATCTAGAAACTACAAACATTCTATGCGCAAAAACCTTACTCGCTGTAATCATTAAAATATAACATGTTGTTTTATTTAAACCGGTACATTACCGGTAACCGTAACATTTATTGGTTGGGGTACCGTAGCCGCAACTTAAATAAAACATTTAAACCGAACCCGTAATCGAAATGGTTATATTGGTTGTAACCGTAACACTAAGTGAACGCAATATTTGATTTGGTTTTAAGCCATGCTTGCAAGAAAAATTATCACAAAGTTTTTTTTAAATTATTTCAGCGATGTTTTTTTTTTTTTAATTTTAAAAGACCGTATAATTTCAAGAGTAAAACAAACTTTCTGTGGTCATCAAGCAATTTGTAAAAACATTTGGTGCCATTCTTTCCTAGAATGCGGAAACGTATTAAAAATTAATGACTTTCCGTTAATAAGACACCCACAAGCCAATGTCATAAATTGTTATTGCCAACCAAAAACTTCCGACATCAAGGAAAACTGGATTATCTTTGCATTATTGGACCTTACGATCATTGTACCACAATTTGTTATGTTTTAAAGAACAAATAATCAGCGGCTTAGTAGTAACTCCGCAATCGATAGTTGTGGTAGCTAAAATGTTGTTTTAGGGCTACCACGATAATCCCTATATTTTCTTAAGTGTTCACAACAATTTTTTTATTTTTATTTATCGCTTTAAAGTAATATTGCAGACAGACAAGAAAAAGAATTATTTCACTTTTTTTACGCAAGATCAGTAAATAAATTTGTTATTCTTTCACATAACAAGCACATTAATATAATTTAAATAGAACTTCAAAATAAATACCAACTGATTTTTATTTAATATATGTCTCTCCAAATTTTGTTCTTGTTCGTAGGTGTTCCAGCTATGGCGGGTAGTGCTATAATAGGAGGCGTACTCCTGGCTCTAATTGAGGGTGTTGGAATATTATTTACCAGAATATCCGCCGATCAGTTCAGAAATCCGTTACCACCAGCAGAAGACCCCGCTGTTCTTGGAGATCCTGGAAGTAATTATTCGTTTGGATCCAATTCAAACCAAAAAAATTATCAATAAAATGACGACCATTTAAAAAAACGGCGATGTATTGTATATTATGAACATTTCTGTTGGGTTCCTTCAAGAATTGAAAACTTGTATGCTCTATCCTTGCTAGAGAAACCTTTCCTTACACCCCTGTACTTCGCTCGATCGGAGCAGTAGTTTTGAAGTTGTGACACCGACTTTTAAAACGTGAGTTGTGGGAAAAACGTTGTAAAGTTCGAACACTAGTACACTAGCACTGTGAACGCAAAAAAAAAACATTCCTTAGTAAATTTTTCTCCGATCAACTTAAAATTTAGACACAACTTTCTTAGGAAATAAAACATTATTTTAGGACAAACCGAATTAAAAATCTACTCCCCAACTTGAGCTTCTCAACATATTTATTTTGCATTGTGTGGCTTAATCGTGACCAAATATAATTGGGTATAACTTTTCAAAACCTTAGTTTTTCTCGAAATGGTGAGCTAAGCAGACATTTTGCTTTATCAAAATCATTGAAATTGAAAAGGAAAAATTTTAAGAAAATTAAAACCGTATTTCTCTAAATTTAAGATCTGACTTTATTTTGGAACATCTAATATACTTATTTAAAATCAAGTCAAATACAAGGAAGGAAGCAAGCTTCGGCAAGCCGAAGTTCATATATCTTGCAGCTATTGCAAAACTTAAATATTCTTGAAAACACTAAAATTATGATTTACTTGCGTATATGGTTAAAAACATTGATGATTTGCAGCTCAATTGTTTGATAGTTCCTACGGTTTTCCGTTTTTAATAAAATTAAAAGCGTAATTCTGAACTGTCAAATTATTAATAGGTCAAAAAAAAAAAAAAATTATAAAAAAAAAATCCAAATAAAAAAGTGAAAATTAAAAAAAAAAATTTTTTTATTATTTTCATGGTAGTTTTATGTTACAGTCGTCCGATTTTGATGACATTTAAACCGTAATTCTGAAATATTTAACTATAACTATATGTCCAAGAACTAATAAAAAATTAAAAAACAGCAAAGTTATAATTATAAAACTGCGTTTCTGAGCCTAAAGGTAAAAGTAAATTCAGAAAAAGGACGTTTTTGCATAATTTTTAGGTTAACCTTTATTAAATTAAATTTTTTTTAAATCGAAACTTGACTAAGCGGTTCTTCTCCTAAAACTTTAAAAAATGGGAAAAGAGCATTACTTGCAAGCAAAATTACCTCAAATTAATTTAAAACTGTTTCCGCGATGTTTTTTTGCGTAGTTAAAGAGGTTGACCTGCGTACCACATGGAAGCGTTCTTGGGCCTAGCCTTTACCTCCTGTATACGGCAGATTTACCCTCAAACTAGCAACTGATGTCATCCACGTTCGCCGATTTTAAGTTGCTCAATATGTCCAATTAAGGCATCAGCACAACGAGCTTCTCATTTAGCCCAGTTGTAAAAATGGTTATCTGATTGGCGCATTAATGCAAACGAGCAAAAATGCAAACACATTACCTTCACCCTTAACAATAAAAATTTACCGCAATTATCACTCAATAACGTATTGATACCATCTACAAATGAAGTTACATATTTTAGAGTACACCTAGATAGGTGTCTCAGTGTCTGGAGGAAGCACATATAAGCAAAGCGCGAACAACTAACCTGCATTGGCTAATAAACTTCCGCATACTAACACTGTTATAAGGCCTGCTTGAAAATATGGCTGCGAGCTATGTGGCAATGCCAGAAACAGCAATAAAGAGCTGATTCAAAGAGCACAGTCAAAAGTGCTAAGAACTATAACCGCAGCTCCCTGTTACATCCGCAACACAGTCATCAACAAAACCTTAAAAATCCCATTAGTGAAAGAAGAAATTACCCAACTACAAGCCAAATACTTATCCAAATTATCAACGCACTCAAACCAGCAAGCACGCGATCTCTGCGAAACTAGAACACAAACGAGACTAGGAAGAAATGACTTACCAGCCCGTTAGCTAAAGAGACCACTCATCAACCAAATGGCCCTATTAAAGTAAATTTGTAGATTCAACAAATAAATAAAATTTCATAAAAAATAAAAGATCCGTATATCTCAACGCTTAGTAGACGATATAACGGAAAGCGAACCAAATTTTGGGAAGTCAACGAAAAAGAGCATCGTAGAGCTCATAGAAGTCCAAAGGAATTCCATTTTCAAATCCTATCGAAATATTATCTCCCCAGGACGGCTAGTATCATTCGCGCACAACTTTCTACTTGCTCTACTTGTAAATTGCATAAGTTTAGCAGACACCCGAATAAACTAGCATTACAACCAACACCTATGCTCCATTGTGTGCAGTATACATATTTGTAGATGCGGAAGTATTCCGGCGCCCGAAGCACCAGACTATGTTGGTGTTGTAAGACCAATTTCGGTTGGATGGGTTAATAAACTTTTTACAAGTTTTGCCGTGCAAATTACTCACACAAATGAAATGAAATGAATGATTACGAACAAGTGTCACTGTATTGTTTGGTAAACCACCTGATTTTGAACTCAAGTTAAACGTTGGGGATACGGTGGAGGATTAAAGACAAACATTATTTTTTTTTGCAATTCAAAAACTGAATAAATGTTTTGCTGCATTCGCGCAAAAAAACAAAATAAAATCTTGTTTTTCTATTTTTGAGGAAGGTTTTTCTTAAAAGCTTACATCATGAAATTGTTGTTATTGAATAAATTCCTGCCCGCAAATAAAAAGTCTGACCGTAAAAAATAACATGGCACTCAAAAGATATTGCTTTTATAAGGATTTTTTTGCGTTCTAAGACTTTTAAAACGTCAATTGGTTCAGGAGTAATGGGGATGGAAGTGCGAAAAACGTAAAAATATAATTTACACGTTGGCCTATCGCAAAGTATTTTAAAATAATTATTTTCTATGCTGGCGTATCTGAATTCGCCAGACAAATGTATTTTGTATTTGCATTTCGTTTCCGTGAAATTTGTTCCGAAGTTAACAAAGAAATAACATAGAGTAATTTCGATTCCGCGAGGATTTTTCGGAAGTGAAAACTGGAGCTAGTCTCGGTATTTCGAATCCGTGTGAATCTTTCGGATGCGAAAACTGGAACAGGGCTGATATTTTTAATGAGCATCTCTAGGAGACTTGATCTAGGCTTCCCCGTCTAGCTGTATGTCCGTCCGTCGCTCTGTCCGCCCTTCCGTCTGCCCGTTTCTCCTCAAAATTGTCTTTCAGTTTTAAAGCTATCTGCATGAAACATTTCCAAAAGTTGTCTTTCTCTTAGGAAAAATCGGGGAGAAAAATTTAAAAATTACAGCGTTGCCGTTTTTAAGTTTTTTTTGTTCCTACATTTTTTTGTTTAGATTTGATTAAAATCGGACGACTATATCATATAGCTCCCTTGAAAATATCGAAATTTTAAAATGTACAAACAAATATTTTTTTTAATTCTTCTGGATAAAATATTAGTTTAATTAATTAATTAGTTTTATTAAAATCGGAAAACGATATCGTATAGCTGCCTAGGAACGATCGAATAATTGATCTGAAAATCATCATAGTAAAATGTATTTAAGTATATATGCTTATAATTCAAAATTGAATAACCTTTCGAAAAGCCCCAACACCCGTTCATTTTCAAAGTTCCAGGGTTCTCCGAAATCAAACGACTTTCTTAAACTCTTAGTATGGACAAACTCTTATAAAAGCGATTGCTTTTGATTGCCATATAATTTATTAAGATCGGACTATTCTATTCCGGTGCTGATGGTCTGCCGTCCACAGTGATAAAGTATGTTTTTAACTCGAAATTTTATTAGGCGTATCGCCTAATCTCCCAAAACAGATCAGGGACGGCGTTTTTGCAAAAGGTTTGCGTTGACCTTTGTTAAACAAAGTATGTTTTAATTCAAAATTTTATTATGCGATGCATCATATCTCCTAAAACTTCAAGAAATATGGTCAAAATTTCACTTGCAAGCATGGTTTCGTAAGCGTTATGCCTAACCGGTATAACCTAATCAAAACCGTAAACGAATCCGAAAACAAAACCAAAAAATTAGTTTTTTGCCTAATCGAAACCGTAACCGAAACATATAGCAACCGGATTAACCTTAACCGGGACCGAAATATTTGTACCGGTTTTGCTAATGTGTCCTTAGAAAACATAATCCGTATAACAAATTCATATATCAGATCGTGAAAAATTTTTCTTTTCAGAGGATTTTTTACAATCCAGAAAAAAATAAGCATACAAAAATGCCGCGACCAAAAACAAATACCAACCGAAAATTTTACACGTTTTACACGTAGTAGTAGTTAGTTTGAAAAAGATGTGTCGGTAAATATATAGTATTAATTTGGTAATATGAAGTTGGTAAGCGTACATATTAACATATGTAAAAAAACCACAAGTATCTAGAAACTACAAACATTCTATGCGCAAAAACCTTACTCGCTCTAATCATTAAGAAATATAACATATTTTTTTTTTTTTTGTTAATTTCAAAAGGCCGTATAATTTCAAGAGTAAAACAAACTTTCTGTGGTCATCAAGCAATTTGTAAAAACATTTGGTGCCATTCTTTCCTAGAATGCGGAAACGTATTAAAAATTAATGACTTTCCGTTAATAAGACACCCACAAGCCAATGTCATAAATTGTTATTGCCAACCAAAAACTTCCGACATCAAGGAAAACTGGATTATCTTTGCATTATTGGACCTTACGATCATTGTACCACAATTTGTTATGTTTTAAAGAACAAATAATCAGCGGCTTAGTAGTAACTCCGCAATCGATAGTTGTGGTAGCTAAAATGTTGTTTTAGGGCTACCACGATAATCCCTATATTTTCTTAAGTGTTCACAACAATTTTTTTATTTTTATTTATCGCTTTAAAGTAATATTGCAGACAGACAAGAAAAAGAATTATTTCACTTTTTTTACGCAAGATCAGTAAATAAATTTGTTATTCTTTCACATAACAAGCACATTAATATAATTTAAATAGAACTTCAAAATAAATACCAACTGATTTTTATTTAATATATGTCTCTCCAAATTTTGTTCTTCTTCGTAGGTGTTCCAGCTATGGCGGGTAGTGCTATAATAGGAGGCGTACTCCTGGCTCTAATTGAGGGTGTTGGAATATTATTTACCAGAATATCTGCCGATCAGTTCAGAAATGCGTTACCACCAGCAGAAGACCCCGCTGTTCTTGGAGATCCTGGAAGTAATTATTCGTTTGGATCCAATTCAAACCAAAAAAATTATCAATAAAATGACGACCATTTAAAAAAACGGCGATGTATTGTATATTATGAACATTTCTGTTGGGTTCCTTCAAGAATTGAAAACTTGTATGCTCTATCCTTGCTAGAGAAACCTTTCCTTACACCCCTGTACTTCGCTCGATCGGAGCAGTGGTTTTGAAGTTGTGACACCGACTTTTAAAACGTGAGTTGTGGGAAAAACGTTGTAAAGTTCGAACACTAGTACACTAGCACTGTGAACGCAAAAAAAAAACATTCCTTAGTAAATTTTTCTCCGATCAACTTAAAATTTAGACACAACTTTCTTAGGAAATAAAACATTATTTTAGGACAAACCGAATTAAAAATCTACTCCCCAACTTGAGCTTCTCAACATATTTATTTTGCATTGTGTGGCTTAATCGTGACCAAATATAATTGGGTATAACTTTTCAAAACCTTAGTTTTTCTCGAAATGGTGAGCTAAGCAGACATTTTGCTTTATCAAAATCATTGAAATTGAAAAGGAAAAATTTTAAGAAAATTAAAACCGTATTTCTCTAAATTTAAGATCTGACTTTATTTTGGAACATCTAATATACTTATTTAAAATCAAGTCAAATACAAGGAAGGAAGCAAGCTTCGGCAAGCCGAAGTTCATATATCTTGCAGCTATTGCAAAACTTAAATATTCTTGAAAACACTAAAATTATGATTTACTTGCGTATATGGTTAAAAACATTGATGATTTGCAGCTCAATTGTTTGATAGTTCCTACGGTTTTCCGTTTTTAATAAAATTAAAAGCGTAATTCTGAACTGTCAAATTATTAATAGGTCAAAAAAAAAAAAATTATAAAAAAAAAATCCAAATAAAAAAGTGAAAATTAAAAAAAAAATTTTTTTTATTATTTTCATGGTAGTTTTATGTTACAGTCGTCCGATTTTGATGACATTTAAACCGTAATTCTGAAATATTTAACTATAACTATATGTCCAAGAACTAATAAAAAATTAAAAAACAGCAAAGTTATAATTATAAAACTGCGTTTCTGAGCCTAAAGGTAAAAGTAAATTCAGAAAAAGGACGTTCTTCTCCTAAAACTTTAAAAAATGGGAAAAGAGCATTACTTGCAAGCAAAATTACCTCAAATTAATTTAAAACTGTTTCCGCGATGTTTTTTTGCGTAGTTAAAGAGGTTGACCTGCGTACCACATGGAAGCGTTCTTGGGCCTAGCCTTTACCTCCTGTATACGGCAGATTTACCCTCAAACTAGCAACTGATGTCATCCACGTTCGCCGATTTTAAGTTGCTCAATATGTCCAATTAAGGCATCAGCACAACGAGCTTCTCATTTAGCCCAGTTGTAAAAATGGTTATCTGATTGGCGCATTAATGCAAACGAGCAAAAATGCAAACACATTACCTTCACCCTTAACAATAAAAATTTACCGCAATTATCACTCAATAACGTATTGATACCATCTACAAATGAAGTTACATATTTTAGAGTACACCTAGATAGGTGTCTCAGTGTCTGGAGGAAGCACATATAAGCAAAGCGCGAACAACTAACCTGCATTGGCTAATAAACTTCCGCTTACTAACACTGTTATAAGGCCTGCTTGAAAATATGGCTGCGAGCTATGTGGCAATGCCAGAAACAGCAATAAAGAGCTGATTCAAAGAGCACAGTCAAAAGTGCTAAGAACTATAACCGCAGCTCCCTGTTACATCCGCAACACAGACATCAACAAAACCTTAAAAATCCCATTAGTGAAAGAAGAAATTGCCCAACTACAAGCCAACTACTTATCCAAATTATCAACGCACTCAAACCAGCAAGCACGCGATCTCTGCGAAACTAGAACACAAACGAGACTAGGAAGAAATGACTTACCAGCCCGTTAGCTAAAGAGACCACTCATCAACCAAATGGCCCTATTAAAGTAAATTTGTAGATTCAACAAATAAATAAAATTTCATAAAAAATAAAAGATCCGTATATCTCAACGCTTAGTAGACGATATAACGGAAAGCGAACCAAATTTTGGGAAGTCAACGAAAAAGAGCATCGTAGAGCCCATAGAAGTCCAAAGGAATTCTATTTTCAAATCCTATCGAAATATTATCTCCCCAGGACGGCTAGTATCATTCGCGCGCAACTTTCTACTTGCTCTACTTGTAAATTGCATAAGTTTAGCAGACACCCGAATAAACTAGCATTACAACCAACACCTATGCTCCATTGTGTGCAATATACATATTTGTAGATGCGGAAGTATTCCGGCGCCCGAAGCACCAGACTATGTTGGTGTTGTAAGACCAATTTCGGTTGGATGGGTTAATAAACTTTTTACAAGTTTTGCCGTGCAAATTACTCACACAAATGAAATGAAATGAATGATTACGAACAAGTGTCACTGTATTGTTTGGTAAACCACCTGATTTTGAACTCAAGTTAAACGTTGGGGATACGGTGGAGGATTAAAGACAAACATTATTTTTTTTTGCAATTCAAAAACTGAATAAATGTTTTGCTGCATTCGCGCAAAAAAACAAAATAAAATCTTGTTTTTCTATTTTTGAGGAAGGTTTTTCTTAAAAGCTTACATCATGAAATTGTTGTTATTGAATAAATTCCTGCCCGCAAATAAAAAGTCTGACCGTAAAAAATAACATGGCACTCAAAAGATATTGCTTTTATAAGGATTTTTTTGCGTTCTAAGACTTTTAAAACGTCAATTGGTTCAGGAGTAATGGGGATGGAAGTGCGAAAAACGTAAAAATATAATTTACACGTTGGCCTATCGCAAAGTATTTTAAAATAATTATTTTCTATGCTGGCGTATCTGAATTCGCCAGACAAATGTATTTTGTATTTGCATTTCGTTTCCGTGAAATTTGTTCCGAAGTTAACAAAGAAATAACATAGAGTAATTTCGATTCCGCGAGGATTTTTCGGAAGTGAAAACTGGAGCTAGTCTCGGTATTTCGAATCCGTGTGAATCTTTCGGATGCGAAAACTGGAACAGGGCTGATATTTTTAATGAGCATCTCTAGGAGACTTGATCTAGGCTTCCCCCGTCTAGCTGTATGTCCGTCCGTCGCTCTGTCCGCCCTTCCGTCTGCCCGTTTCTCCTCAAAATTGTCTTTCAGTTTTAAAGCTATCTGCATGAAACATTTCCAAAAGTTGTCTTTCTCTTAGGAAAAATCGGGGAGAAAAATTTAAAAATTACAGCGTTGCCGTTTTTAAGTTTTTTTTGTTCCTACATTTTTTTGTTTAGATTTGATTAAAATCGGACGACTATATCATATAGCTCCCTTGAAAATATCGAAATTTTAAAATGTACAAACAAATATTTTTTTTAATTCTTCTGGATAAAATATTAGTTTAATTAATTAATTAGTTTTATTAAAATCGGAAAACGATATCGTATAGCTGCCTAGGAACGATCGAATAATTGATCTGAAAATCATCATAGTAAAATGTATTTAAGTATATATGCTTATAATTCAAAATTGAATAACCTTTCGAAAAGCCCCAACACCCGTTCATTTTCAAAGTTCCAGGGTTCTCCGAAATCAAACGACTTTCTTAAACTCTTAGTATGGACAAACTCTTATAAAAGCGATTGCTTTTGATTGCCATATAATTTATTAAGATCGGACTATTCTATTCCGGTGCTGATGGTCTGCCGTCCACAGTGATAAAGTATGTTTTTAACTCGAAATTTTATTAGGCGTATCGCCTAATCTCCCAAAACAGATCAGGGACGGCGTTTTTGCAAAAGGTTTGCGTTGACCTTTGTTAAACAAAGTATGTTTTAATTCAAAATTTTATTATGCGATGCATCATATCTCCTAAAACTTCAAGAAATATGGTCAAAATTTCACTTGCAAGCATGGTTTCGTAAGCGTTATGCCTAACCGGTATAACCTAATCAAAACCGTAAACGAATCCGAAAACAAAACCAAAAAATTAGTTTTTTGCCTAATCGAAACCGTAACCGAAACATATAGCAACCGGATTAACCTTAACCGGGACCGAAATATTTGTACCGGTTTTGCTAATGTGTCCTTAGAAAACATAATCCGTATAACAAATTCATATATCAGATCGTGAAAAATTTTTCTTTTCAGAGGATTTTTTACAATCCAGAAAAAAAATAAGCATACAAAAATGCCGCGACCAAAAACAAATACCAACCGAAAATTTTACACGTTTTACACGTAGTAGTAGTTAGTTTGAAAAAGATGTGTCGGTAAATATATAGTATTAATTTGGTAATATGAAGTTGGTAAGCGTACATATTAACATATGTAAAAAAACCACAAGTATCTAGAAACTACAAACATTCTATGCGCAAAAACCTTACTCGCTCTAATCATTAAGAAATATAACATATTGTTTTTTTTTTTTTGTTAATTTCAAAAGGCCGTATAATTTCAAGAGTAAAACAAACTTTCTGTGGTCATCAAGCAATTTGTAAAAACATTTGGTGCCATTCTTTCCTAGAATGCGGAAACGTATTAAAAATTAATGACTTTCCGTTAATAAGACACCCACAAGCCAATGTCATAAATTGTTATTGCCAACCAAAAACTTCCGACATCAAGGAAAACTGGATTATCTTTGCATTATTGGACCTTACGATCATTGTACCACAATTTGTTATGTTTTAAAGAACAAATAATCAGCGGCTTAGTAGTAACTCCGCAATCGATAGTTGTGGTAGCTAAAATGTTGTTTTAGGGCTACCACGATAATCCCTATATTTTCTTAAGTGTTCACAACAATTTTTTTATTTTTATTTATCGCTTTAAAGTAATATTGCAGACAGACAAGAAAAAGAATTATTTCACTTTTTTTACGCAAGATCAGTAAATAAATTTGTTATTCTTTCACATAACAAGCACATTAATATAATTTAAATAGAACTTCAAAATAAATACCAACTGATTTTTATTTAATATATGTCTCTCCAAATTTTGTTCTTCTTCGTAGGTGTTCCAGCTATGGCGGGTAGTGCTATAATAGGAGGCGTACTCCTGGCTCTAATTGAGGGTGTTGGAATATTATTTACCAGAATATCTGCCGATCAGTTCAGAAATGCGTTACCACCAGCAGAAGACCCCGCTGTTCTTGGAGATCCTGGAAGTAATTATTCGTTTGGATCCAATTCAAACCAAAAAAATTATCAATAAAATGACGACCATTTAAAAAAACGGCGATGTATTGTATATTATGAACATTTCTGTTGGGTTCCTTCAAGAATTGAAAACTTGTATGCTCTATCCTTGCTAGAGAAACCTTTCCTTACACCCCTGTACTTCGCTCGATCGGAGCAGTGGTTTTGAAGTTGTGACACCGACTTTTAAAACGTGAGTTGTGGGAAAAACGTTGTAAAGTTCGAACACTAGTACACTAGCACTGTGAACGCAAAAAAAAAACATTCCTTAGTAAATTTTTCTCCGATCAACTTAAAATTTAGACACAACTTTCTTAGGAAATAAAACATTATTTTAGGACAAACCGAATTAAAAATCTACTCCCCAACTTGAGCTTCTCAACATATTTATTTTGCATTGTGTGGCTTAATCGTGACCAAATATAATTGGGTATAACTTTTCAAAACCTTAGTTTTTCTCGAAATGGTGAGCTAAGCAGACATTTTGCTTTATCAAAATCATTGAAATTGAAAAGGAAAAATTTTAAGAAAATTAAAACCGTATTTCTCTAAATTTAAGATCTGACTTTATTTTGGAACATCTAATATACTTATTTAAAATCAAGTCAAATACAAGGAAGGAAGCAAGCTTCGGCAAGCCGAAGTTCATATATCTTGCAGCTATTGCAAAACTTAAATATTCTTGAAAACACTAAAATTATGATTTACTTGCGTATATGGTTAAAAACATTGATGATTTGCAGCTCAATTGTTTGATAGTTCCTACGGTTTTCCGTTTTTAATAAAATTAAAAGCGTAATTCTGAACTGTCAAATTATTAATAGGTCAAAAAAAAAAAAAATTATAAAAAAAAAATCCAAATAAAAAAGTGAAAATTAAAAAAAAAATTTTTTTTATTATTTTCATGGTAGTTTTATGTTACAGTCGTCCGATTTTGATGACATTTAAACCGTAATTCTGAAATATTTAACTATAACTATATGTCCAAGAACTAATAAAAAATTAAAAAACAGCAAAGTTATAATTATAAAACTGCGTTTCTGAGCCTAAAGGTAAAAGTAAATTCAGAAAAAGGACGTTCTTCTCCTAAAACTTTAAAAAATGGGAAAAGAGCATTACTTGCAAGCAAAATTACCTCAAATTAATTTAAAACTGTTTCCGCGATGTTTTTTTGCGTAGTTAAAGAGGTTGACCTGCGTACCACATGGAAGCGTTCTTGGGCCTAGCCTTTACCTCCTGTATACGGCAGATTTACCCTCAAACTAGCAACTGATGTCATCCACGTTCGCCGATTTTAAGTTGCTCAATATGTCCAATTAAGGCATCAGCACAACGAGCTTCTCATTTAGCCCAGTTGTAAAAATGGTTATCTGATTGGCGCATTAATGCAAACGAGCAAAAATGCAAACACATTACCTTCACCCTTAACAATAAAAATTTACCGCAATTATCACTCAATAACGTATTGATACCATCTACAAATGAAGTTACATATTTTAGAGTACACCTAGATAGGTGTCTCAGTGTCTGGAGGAAGCACATATAAGCAAAGCGCGAACAACTAACCTGCATTGGCTAATAAACTTCCGCTTACTAACACTGTTATAAGGCCTGCTTGAAAATATGGCTGCGAGCTATGTGGCAATGCCAGAAACAGCAATAAAGAGCTGATTCAAAGAGCACAGTCAAAAGTGCTAAGAACTATAACCGCAGCTCCCTGTTACATCCGCAACACAGACATCAACAAAACCTTAAAAATCCCATTAGTGAAAGAAGAAATTGCCCAACTACAAGCCAACTACTTATCCAAATTATCAACGCACTCAAACCAGCAAGCACGCGATCTCTGCGAAACTAGAACACAAACGAGACTAGGAAGAAATGACTTACCAGCCCGTTAGCTAAAGAGACCACTCATCAACCAAATGGCCCTATTAAAGTAAATTTGTAGATTCAACAAATAAATAAAATTTCATAAAAAATAAAAGATCCGTATATCTCAACGCTTAGTAGACGATATAACGGAAAGCGAACCAAATTTTGGGAAGTCAACGAAAAAGAGCATCGTAGAGCCCATAGAAGTCCAAAGGAATTCTATTTTCAAATCCTATCGAAATATTATCTCCCCAGGACGGCTAGTATCATTCGCGCGCAACTTTCTACTTGCTCTACTTGTAAATTGCATAAGTTTAGCAGACACCCGAATAAACTAGCATTACAACCAACACCTATGCTCCATTGTGTGCAATATACATATTTGTAGATGCGGAAGTATTCCGGCGCCCGAAGCACCAGACTATGTTGGTGTTGTAAGACCAATTTCGGTTGGATGGGTTAATAAACTTTTTACAAGTTTTGCCGTGCAAATTACTCACACAAATGAAATGAAATGAATGATTACGAACAAGTGTCACTGTATTGTTTGGTAAACCACCTGATTTTGAACTCAAGTTAAACGTTGGGGATACGGTGGAGGATTAAAGACAAACATTATTTTTTTTTGCAATTCAAAAACTGAATAAATGTTTTGCTGCATTCGCGCAAAAAAACAAAATAAAATCTTGTTTTTCTATTTTTGAGGAAGGTTTTTCTTAAAAGCTTACATCATGAAATTGTTGTTATTGAATAAATTCCTGCCCGCAAATAAAAAGTCTGACCGTAAAAAATAACATGGCACTCAAAAGATATTGCTTTTATAAGGATTTTTTTGCGTTCTAAGACTTTTAAAACGTCAATTGGTTCAGGAGTAATGGGGATGGAAGTGCGAAAAACGTAAAAATATAATTTACACGTTGGCCTATCGCAAAGTATTTTAAAATAATTATTTTCTATGCTGGCGTATCTGAATTCGCCAGACAAATGTATTTTGTATTTGCATTTCGTTTCCGTGAAATTTGTTCCGAAGTTAACAAAGAAATAACATAGAGTAATTTCGATTCCGCGAGGATTTTTCGGAAGTGAAAACTGGAGCTAGTCTCGGTATTTCGAATCCGTGTGAATCTTTCGGATGCGAAAACTGGAACAGGGCTGATATTTTTAATGAGCATCTCTAGGAGACTTGATCTAGGCTTCCCCGTCTAGCTGTATGTCCGTCCGTCGCTCTGTCCGCCCTTCCGTCTGCCCGTTTCTCCTCAAAATTGTCTTTCAGTTTTAAAGCTATCTGCATGAAACATTTCCAAAAGTTGTCTTTCTCTTAGGAAAAATCGGGGAGAAAAATTTAAAAATTACAGCGTTGCCGTTTTTAAGTTTTTTTTGTTCCTACATTTTTTGTTTAGATTTGATTAAAATCGGACGACTATATCATATAGCTCCCTTGAAAATATCGAAATTTTAAAATGTACAAACAAATATTTTTTTTAATTCTTCTGGATAAAATATTAGTTTAATTAATTAATTAGTTTTATTTAAATCGGAAAACGATATCGTATAGCTGCCTAGGAACGATCGAATAATTGATCTGAAAATCATCATAGTAAAATGTATTTAAGTATATATGCTTATAATTCAAAATTGAATAACCTTTCGAAAAGCCCCAACACCCGTTCATTTTCAAAGTTCCAGGGTTCTCCGAAATCAAACGACTTTCTTAAACTCTTAGTATGGACAAACTCTTATAAAAGCGATTGCTTTTGATTGCCATATAATTTATTAAGATCGGACTATTCTATTCCGGTGCTGATGGTCTGCCGTCCACAGTGATAAAGTATGTTTTTAACTCGAAATTTTATTAGGCGTATCGCCTAATCTCCCAAAACAGATCAGGGACGGCGTTTTTGCAAAAGGTTTGCGTTGACCTTTGTTAAACAAAGTATGTTTTAATTCAAAATTTTATTATGCGATGCATCATATCTCCTAAAACTTCAAGAAATATGGTCAAAATTTCACTTGCAAGCATGGTTTCGTAAGCGTTATGCCTAACCGGTATAACCTAATCAAAACCGTAAACGAATCCGAAAACAAAACCAAAAAATTAGTTTTTTGCCTAATCGAAACCGTAACCGAAACATATAGCAACCGGATTAACCTTAACCGGGACCGAAATATTTGTACCGGTTTTGCTAATGTGTCCTTAGAAAACATAATCCGTATAACAAATTCATATATCAGATCGTGAAAAATTTTTCTTTTCAGAGGATTTTTTACAATCCAGAAAAAAAATAAGCATACAAAAATGCCGCGACCAAAAACAAATACCAACCGAAAATTTTACACGTTTTACACGTAGTAGTAGTTAGTTTGAAAAAGATGTGTCGGTAAATATATAGTATTAATTTGGTAATATGAAGTTGGTAAGCGTACATATTAACATATGTAAAAAAACCACAAGTATCTAGAAACTACAAACATTCTATGCGCAAAAACCTTACTCGCTCTAATCATTAAGAAATATAACATATTGTTTTTTTTTTTTTGTTAATTTCAAAAGGCCGTATAATTTCAAGAGTAAAACAAACTTTCTGTGGTCATCAAGCAATTTGTAAAAACATTTGGTGCCATTCTTTCCTAGAATGCGGAAACGTATTAAAAATTAATGACTTTCCGTTAATAAGACACCCACAAGCCAATGTCATAAATTGTTATTGCCAACCAAAAACTTCCGACATCAAGGAAAACTGGATTATCTTTGCATTATTGGACCTTACGATCATTGTACCACAATTTGTTATGTTTTAAAGAACAAATAATCAGCGGCTTAGTAGTAACTCCGCAATCGATAGTTGTGGTAGCTAAAATGTTGTTTTAGGGCTACCACGATAATCCCTATATTTTCTTAAGTGTTCACAACAATTTTTTTATTTTTATTTATCGCTTTAAAGTAATATTGCAGACAGACAAGAAAAAGAATTATTTCACTTTTTTTACGCAAGATCAGTAAATAAATTTGTTATTCTTTCACATAACAAGCACATTAATATAATTTAAATAGAACTTCAAAATAAATACCAACTGATTTTTATTTAATATATGTCTCTCCAAATTTTGTTCTTCTTCGTAGGTGTTCCAGCTATGGCGGGTAGTGCTATAATAGGAGGCGTACTCCTGGCTCTAATTGAGGGTGTTGGAATATTATTTACCAGAATATCTGCCGATCAGTTCAGAAATGCGTTACCACCAGCAGAAGACCCCGCTGTTCTTGGAGATCCTGGAAGTAATTATTCGTTTGGATCCAATTCAAACCAAAAAAATTATCAATAAAATGACGACCATTTAAAAAAACGGCGATGTATTGTATATTATGAACATTTCTGTTGGGTTCCTTCAAGAATTGAAAACTTGTATGCTCTATCCTTGCTAGAGAAACCTTTCCTTACACCCCTGTACTTCGCTCGATCGGAGCAGTGGTTTTGAAGTTGTGACACCGACTTTTAAAACGTGAGTTGTGGGAAAAACGTTGTAAAGTTCGAACACTAGTACACTAGCACTGTGAACGCAAAAAAAAAACATTCCTTAGTAAATTTTTCTCCGATCAACTTAAAATTTAGACACAACTTTCTTAGGAAATAAAACATTATTTTAGGACAAACCGAATTAAAAATCTACTCCCCAACTTGAGCTTCTCAACATATTTATTTTGCATTGTGTGGCTTAATCGTGACCAAATATAATTGGGTATAACTTTTCAAAACCTTAGTTTTTCTCGAAATGGTGAGCTAAGCAGACATTTTGCTTTATCAAAATCATTGAAATTGAAAAGGAAAAATTTTAAGAAAATTAAAACCGTATTTCTCTAAATTTAAGATCTGACTTTATTTTGGAACATCTAATATACTTATTTAAAATCAAGTCAAATACAAGGAAGGAAGCAAGCTTCGGCAAGCCGAAGTTCATATATCTTGCAGCTATTGCAAAACTTAAATATTCTTGAAAACACTAAAATTATGATTTACTTGCGTATATGGTTAAAAACATTGATGATTTGCAGCTCAATTGTTTGATAGTTCCTACGGTTTTCCGTTTTTAATAAAATTAAAAGCGTAATTCTGAACTGTCAAATTATTAATAGGTCAAAAAAAAAAAAAAAATTATAAAAAAAAAATCCAAATAAAAAAGTGAAAATTAAAAAAAAAAATTTTTTTTATTATTTTCATGGTAGTTTTATGTTACAGTCGTCCGATTTTGATGACATTTAAACCGTAATTCTGAAATATTTAACTATAACTATATGTCCAAGAACTAATAAAAAATTAAAAAACAGCAAAGTTATAATTATAAAACTGCGTTTCTGAGCCTAAAGGTAAAAGTAAATTCAGAAAAAGGACGTTCTTCTCCTAAAACTTTAAAAAATGGGAAAAGAGCATTACTTGCAAGCAAAATTACCTCAAATTAATTTAAAACTGTTTCCGCGATGTTTTTTTGCGTAGTTAAAGAGGTTGACCTGCGTACCACATGGAAGCGTTCTTGGGCCTAGCCTTTACCTCCTGTATACGGCAGATTTACCCTCAAACTAGCAACTGATGTCATCCACGTTCGCCGATTTTAAGTTGCTCAATATGTCCAATTAAGGCATCAGCACAACGAGCTTCTCATTTAGCCCAGTTGTAAAAATGGTTATCTGATTGGCGCATTAATGCAAACGAGCAAAAATGCAAACACATTACCTTCACCCTTAACAATAAAAATTTACCGCAATTATCACTCAATAACGTATTGATACCATCTACAAATGAAGTTACATATTTTAGAGTACACCTAGATAGGTGTCTCAGTGTCTGGAGGAAGCACATATAAGCAAAGCGCGAACAACTAACCTGCATTGGCTAATAAACTTCCGCTTACTAACACTGTTATAAGGCCTGCTTGAAAATATGGCTGCGAGCTATGTGGCAATGCCAGAAACAGCAATAAAGAGCTGATTCAAAGAGCACAGTCAAAAGTGCTAAGAACTATAACCGCAGCTCCCTGTTACATCCGCAACACAGACATCAACAAAACCTTAAAAATCCCATTAGTGAAAGAAGAAATTGCCCAACTACAAGCCAACTACTTATCCAAATTATCAACGCACTCAAACCAGCAAGCACGCGATCTCTGCGAAACTAGAACACAAACGAGACTAGGAAGAAATGACTTACCAGCCCGTTAGCTAAAGAGACCACTCATCAACCAAATGGCCCTATTAAAGTAAATTTGTAGATTCAACAAATAAATAAAATTTCATAAAAAATAAAAGATCCGTATATCTCAACGCTTAGTAGACGATATAACGGAAAGCGAACCAAATTTTGGGAAGTCAACGAAAAAGAGCATCGTAGAGCCCATAGAAGTCCAAAGGAATTCTATTTTCAAATCCTATCGAAATATTATCTCCCCAGGACGGCTAGTATCATTCGCGCGCAACTTTCTACTTGCTCTACTTGTAAATTGCATAAGTTTAGCAGACACCCGAATAAACTAGCATTACAACCAACACCTATGCTCCATTGTGTGCAATATACATATTTGTAGATGCGGAAGTATTCCGGCGCCCGAAGCACCAGACTATGTTGGTGTTGTAAGACCAATTTCGGTTGGATGGGTTAATAAACTTTTTACAAGTTTTGCCGTGCAAATTACTCACACAAATGAAATGAAATGAATGATTACGAACAAGTGTCACTGTATTGTTTGGTAAACCACCTGATTTTGAACTCAAGTTAAACGTTGGGGATACGGTGGAGGATTAAAGACAAACATTATTTTTTTTTGCAATTCAAAAACTGAATAAATGTTTTGCTGCATTCGCGCAAAAAAACAAAATAAAATCTTGTTTTTCTATTTTTGAGGAAGGTTTTTCTTAAAAGCTTACATCATGAAATTGTTGTTATTGAATAAATTCCTGCCCGCAAATAAAAAGTCTGACCGTAAAAAATAACATGGCACTCAAAAGATATTGCTTTTATAAGGATTTTTTTGCGTTCTAAGACTTTTAAAACGTCAATTGGTTCAGGAGTAATGGGGATGGAAGTGCGAAAAACGTAAAAATATAATTAACACGTTGGCCTATCGCAAAGTATTTTAAAATAATTATTTTCTATGCTGGCGTATCTGAATTCGCCAGACAAATGTATTTTGTATTTGCATTTCGTTTCCGTGAAATTTGTTCCGAAGTTAACAAAGAAATAACATAGAGTAATTTCGATTCCGCGAGGATTTTTCGGAAGTGAAAACTGGAGCTAGTCTCGGTATTTCGAATCCGTGTGAATCTTTCGGATGCGAAAACTGGAACAGGGCTGATATTTTTAATGAGCATCTCTAGGAGACTTGATCTAGGCTTCCCCGTCTAGCTGTATGTCCGTCCGTCGCTCTGTCCGCCCTTCCGTCTGCCCGTTTCTCCTCAAAATTGTCTTTCAGTTTTAAAGCTATCTGCATGAAACATTTCCAAAAGTTGTCTTTCTCTTAGGAAAAATCGGGGAGAAAAATTTAAAAATTACAGCGTTGCCGTTTTTAAGTTTTTTTTTTCCTACATTTTTTTGTTTAGATTTGATTAAAATCGGACGACTATATCATATAGCTCCCTTGAAAATATCGAAATTTTAAAATGTACAAACAAATATTTTTTTTAATTCTTCTGGATAAAATATTAGTTTAATTAATTAGTTTTATTAAAATCGGGAAACGATATCGTATAGCTGCCTAGGAACGATCGAATAATTGATCTGAAAATCATCATAGTAAAATGTATTTAAGTATATATGCTTATAATTCAAAATTGAATAACCTTTCGAAAAGCCCCAACACCCGTTCATTTTCAAAGTTCCAGGGTTCTCCGAAATCAAACGACTTTCTTAAACTCTTAGTATGGACAAACTCTTATAAAAGCGATTGCTTTTGATTGCCATATAATTTATTAAGATCGGACTATTCTATTCCGGTGCTGATGGTCTGCCGTCCACAGTGATAAAGTATGTTTTTAACTCGAAATTTTATTAGGCGTATCGCCTAATCTCCCAAAACAGATCAGGGACGGCGTTTTTGCAAAAGGTTTGCGTTGACCTTTGTTAAACAAAGTATGTTTTAATTCAAAATTTTATTATGCGATGCATCATATCTCCTAAAACTTCAAGAAATATGGTCAAAATTTCACTTGCAAGCATGGTTTCGTAAGCGTTATGCCTAACCGGTATAACCTAATCAAAACCGTAAACGAATCCGAAAACAAAACCAAAAAATTAGTTTTTTGCCTAATCGAAACCGTAACCGAAACATATAGCAACCGGATTAACCTTAACCGGGACCGAAATATTTGTACCGGTTTTGCTAATGTGTCCTTAGAAAACATAATCCGTATAACAAATTCATATATCAGATCGTGAAAAATTTTTCTTTTCAGAGGATTTTTTACAATCCAGAAAAAAATAAGCATACAAAAATGCCGCGACCAAAAACAAATACCAACCGAAAATTTTACACGTTTTACACGTAGTAGTAGTTAGTTTGAAAAAGATGTGTCGGTAAATATATAGTATTAATTTGGTAATATGAAGTTGGTAAGCGTACATATTAACATATGTAAAAAAACCACAAGTATCTAGAAACTACAAACATTCTATGCGCAAAAACCTTACTCGCTCTAATCATTAAGAAATATAACATATTGTTTTTTTTTTTTTTGTTAATTTCAAAAGGCCGTATAATTTCAAGAGTAAAACAAACTTTCTGTGGTCATCAAGCAATTTGTAAAAACATTTGGTGCCATTCTTTCCTAGAATGCGGAAACGTATTAAAAATTAATGACTTTCCGTTAATAAGACACCCACAAGCCAATGTCATAAATTGTTATTGCCAACCAAAAACTTCCGACATCAAGGAAAACTGGATTATCTTTGCATTATTGGACCTTACGATCATTGTACCACAATTTGTTATGTTTTAAAGAACAAATAATCAGCGGCTTAGTAGTAACTCCGCAATCGATAGTTGTGGTAGCTAAAATGTTGTTTTAGGGCTACCACGATAATCCCTATATTTTCTTAAGTGTTCACAACAATTTTTTTATTTTTATTTATCGCTTTAAAGTAATATTGCAGACAGACAAGAAAAAGAATTATTTCACTTTTTTTACGCAAGATCAGTAAATAAATTTGTTATTCTTTCACATAACAAGCACATTAATATAATTTAAATAGAACTTCAAAATAAATACCAACTGATTTTTATTTAATATATGTCTCTCCAAATTTTGTTCTTCTTCGTAGGTGTTCCAGCTATGGCGGGTAGTGCTATAATAGGAGGCGTACTCCTGGCTCTAATTGAGGGTGTTGGAATATTATTTACCAGAATATCTGCCGATCAGTTCAGAAATGCGTTACCACCAGCAGAAGACCCCGCTGTTCTTGGAGATCCTGGAAGTAATTATTCGTTTGGATCCAATTCAAACCAAAAAAATTATCAATAAAATGACGACCATTTAAAAAAACGGCGATGTATTGTATATTATGAACATTTCTGTTGGGTTCCTTCAAGAATTGAAAACTTGTATGCTCTATCCTTGCTAGAGAAACCTTTCCTTACACCCCTGTACTTCGCTCGATCGGAGCAGTGGTTTTGAAGTTGTGACACCGACTTTTAAAACGTGAGTTGTGGGAAAAACGTTGTAAAGTTCGAACACTAGTACACTAGCACTGTGAACGCAAAAAAAAAACATTCCTTAGTAAATTTTTCTCCGATCAACTTAAAATTTAGACACAACTTTCTTAGGAAATAAAACATTATTTTAGGACAAACCGAATTAAAAATCTACTCCCCAACTTGAGCTTCTCAACATATTTATTTTGCATTGTGTGGCTTAATCGTGACCAAATATAATTGGGTATAACTTTTCAAAACCTTAGTTTTTCTCGAAATGGTGAGCTAAGCAGACATTTTGCTTTATCAAAATCATTGAAATTGAAAAGGAAAAATTTTAAGAAAATTAAAACCGTATTTCTCTAAATTTAAGATCTGACTTTATTTTGGAACATCTAATATACTTATTTAAAATCAAGTCAAATACAAGGAAGGAAGCAAGCTTCGGCAAGCCGAAGTTCATATATCTTGCAGCTATTGCAAAACTTAAATATTCTTGAAAACACTAAAATTATGATTTACTTGCGTATATGGTTAAAAACATTGATGATTTGCAGCTCAATTGTTTGATAGTTCCTACGGTTTTCCGTTTTTAATAAAATTAAAAGCGTAATTCTGAACTGTCAAATTATTAATAGGTCAAAAAAAAAAAAAATTATAAAAAAAAAATCCAAATAAAAAAGTGAAAATTAAAAAAAAAAATTTTTTAATTTTTTATTATTTTCATGGTAGTTTTATGTTACAGTCGTCCGATTTTGATGACATTTAAACCGTAATTCTGAAATATTTAACTATAACTATATGTCCAAGAACTAATAAAAAATTAAAAAACAGCAAAGTTATAATTATAAAACTGCGTTTCTGAGCCTAAAGGTAAAAGTAAATTCAGAAAAAGGACGTTTTTGCATAATTTTTAGGTTAACCTTTATTAAATTAAATTTTTTTAAATCGAAACTTGACTAAGCGGTTCTTCTCCTAAAACTTTAAAAAATGGGAAAAGAGCATTACTTGCAAGCAAAATTACCTCAAATTAATTTAAAACTGTTTCCGTGATGTTTTTTTGCGTAGTTAAAGAGGTTGACCTGCGTACCACATGGAAGCGTTCTTGGGCCTAGCCTTTACCTCCTGTATACTGCAGATTTACCCTCAAACTAGCGACTTATGTCATCCACGTTCGCCGATTTTAAGTCGCTCAAAATGTCCAATTAAGGCATCAGCACAACGAGCTTCTCATTCAGCCCAGTTGTAAAAATGGTAATCTGATTGGCGCATGAATGCAAACGAGCAAAAATGCAAACACATTACCTTCACCCTTAACAATAAAAATTTACCGCAATTACATATTTTAGTGACATATTTTAGAGACTACCTAGATAGGTGTCTCAGTATCTGGAGGAAGCACATAGAAGCAAAGCGCGAACAAATAACCTGCATTGGCTAATAAACTTCCGCTTACCAACACTGTTATAAGGCCTGCTTGAAAATATGGCTGCGAGCTATGTGGCAATGCCAGAAACAGCAATATAGAGCTGATTCAAAGAGCACCGTCAAAAGTGCTAAGAACTATAACCGCAGCTCCCTGGTACATCCGCAACACAGACATCAACAAAACCTTAAACATCCCATTAGTAAAAGATGAAATTGCCCAACTACAAGCCAACTACTTATCTAAATTATCAACGCACTCAAACCAGCAAGCACGCGATCTCTGCGAAACTAGAACACAAACAAGGAATGACAAAGGAAGAAATGACTTACCAGCCCGTTAGCTAAAGAGACCACTCATCAACCAAATGACCCTATTAAAGTAAATTTGTTAAATAATAAATAAAATTTCATAAAAAATAAAAGATCCGTATATCTCAACGCTTAGTAGACAATAACGGAAAGCGGACCAAATTTTGGGAAGTCAACGAAAAAGAGCATCGTAGAGCCCATAGAAGTCCAAAGGAATGCCATTTTCAAATCCCATCGAAATATTATCTCCCCAGGACGGCTAATACCATTCACGCACAACTTTCTACTTGCTCTACTTGTAAATTGCATAAGTTTAGCAGACACCCGAATAAACTAGCATTACAACCAACACCTATGCTCCATTGTGTGCAGTATACATATTTGTAGATGCGGAAGTATTCCGGCGCCCGAAGCACCAGACTATGTTGGTGTTGTAAGACCAATTTCGGTTGGATGGGTTAATAAACTTTTTACAAGTTTTGCCGTGCAAATTACTCACACAAATGAAATGAAATGAATGATTTCGAACAAGTGTCACTGTATTGTTTGGTAAACCACCTGATTTTGAACTCAAGTTAAACGTTGGGGATACGGTGGAGGATTAAAGACAAACATTATTATTTTTGCAATTCAAAAACTGAATAAATGTTTTGCTGCATTCGCGCAAAAAAACAAAATAAAATCTTGTTTTTCTATTTTTGAGGAAGGTTTTTCTTAAAAGCTTACATCATGAAATTGTTGTTATTGAATCAAATGCTGGCCGCAAAAAAAAAGTCTGACCGTAAAAAATAACATGGCACATAACTCAAAAGATATTGCTTTTATAGGGATTTTTTTGCGTTCTAAGACTTTTAAAACGTCAATTGGTTCAGGAGTAATGGGGGTGGAAGTTCGAAAAATGTAAAAATATAATTTACACGTTGGCCTATCGCAAAGTATTTTAAAATAATTATTTTCTATGCTGGCGTATCTGAATTCGCCAGACGAATGTATTTTGTATTTGTATATCGTTTCCGTGAAATTTGTTCCGAAGTTAACAAAGAAATAACATAGAGTAATTTCGATTCCGCGAGGATTTTTCGGAAGTGAAAACTGGAGCTAGTCTCGGTATTTCGAATCCGTATGAATCTTTCGGAAGTGAAAACTGGAACAGGGCTGATATTTTTAAATAGCATCTCTAGGAGACTTGATCTAGGCTTGCCCTTCCGTCTGCCCGTTTCTCCTCAAAATTGTCTTCAAGTTTTAAAGCTATCTGCATGAAACATTTCCAAAAGTTGTCTTTCTCTTAGGAAAAATCGGGGAGAAAAATTAAAAAATTACAGCGTTGCTGTTTTTAAGTTTTTTTTTGTTCCTACATTTTTATACCCTTGCAGAGCGTATTATAATTTCAGTCAGAAGTTTGCAACGCAGTGAAGGAGACGTTTCCGACCCTATAAAGTATGTATATTCTTGATCAGCATCACTAGTAGAGTCGATCTAGCCATGTCCGTCTGTCCGTCCGTTTATATGCAAACTAGTCTCTCAGTTTTAAAGCTATCTGCATGAAACTTTCCCAAAAGTTCTCTTTCTATTGCAGGTAGTATATAATTTGGAACGAGCCGGATCGGACGCCTATAGCATATAGCTCCCATAGGAACAATCGGAAAAATAAATGAAAAAAAATTAAACTTTGCTGTTTTTTAATTTTTTGTTTAGTTCTTCACCATAAAGTAATGGTAAAAAATTTCGATTTACGGTTTAAATTTCATTAAAATCGGACGACTATAGCACATAGCTCCCATAGGAACAATCGGAAAAATAAATGAAAAAAATTATAACTTTTCTGTTTTTTAATTTTTTGTTTAGTTTTTTGACATATAGCAATGTTTAATTATTTCAGAATTATGGTTTAAATTTTTATCAAAATCGGACGTCTATATCATATAGCTCCCATAGAAATAATAAAAATATATAAAATAACTATCTAATAATTGAGCTGCAAATCATCATTGTTTCTATGTATTTCAGCATATACTCAAGTAAATCATAATTTAAATGTTTTCAAAAGTATTTAATTCATGCAATAGCTGCAAGGGTATATGAACTTCGGCTTGCCGAAGTTTGCTTTCTTTCTTGTTTTGTTTAGATTTGACTAAAATCGGACGACTATATCATTCCCATAAAAAAAAACAAATTTTAAAATGTATAAACAAATTTTTTTTTTAATTCTTATGGATAAAAATCGGACGACTATATCGTATAAATTATAATTTTTCTGTTTTTTAATTTTTATATTAGTTCTTCGACATATAGTAATGGTTAAATATTTTAGAATTACGGTTTAAATTTCATCAAAATCGGACGATTTCTAGCTCCCATAGAAATAATATAAATATATAAAATAACTATCTAATAATTAAGCTGCAAATCATCATCGATTCAATGTTTTTAAACATATACGCAAGTAAATCTTAATTTTAATGTTTTCAAAAATATTTAATTCTTGCTGCAAGGTTATATGAACTTCGGCTTGCCGAAGTTTGCTTCCTTTCTTGTTAATTAATTAGTTTTATTAAAATCGGAAAACGATAACGTATAGTTGCCTAGGAACGATCGAATAATTGAGCTGAAAATTATCATAGTAAAATGTATTTAAGCATATACGCTTTTAATTCAAAATTGAATAACCTTCCGAAAAGCCCCAACACCCGATCATTTTCAAAGTTTCAGGGTTCTCCGAAATCAAACGACTTTCTTAAACTCTTAGTATGGACAAACTCTTATAAAAGCGATTCCTTTTGATTGCCATATAATTTATTAAGATCGGACTATTCTTAGCTGATTTTCAATTTAGCGCCCTCTTTCCGGTGCTGATGGTCTGCCGTCCACAGTGATAAAGTATGTTTTTAACTGTAAATTTTATTAGGCGTATCGCCTAATCTCCCAAAACAGATCAGGGACGGCGTTTTTGCAAAAGGTTTGCGTTGACCTTTGTTAAACAAAGTATGTTTTAATTCAAAATTTGAATATGCGATGCATCATATCTCCTAAAACTCCAAGAAATATGATCAAAATTTCACTTGCAAGCATGGTTTTGTAAGCGTTATGCCAAACCGGTATAACCTAATCAAAACC